TCCCTTCTCCTCTCCACAACATACCGCCTGTGAGGTAGGTGGGGCTGAGAGAGCTCTTTCAAGATCCACCCTTGAGAGAACAGCTCTGAAAGAACTCATGACTGACCCAAGGTCACAACTGTAGCTGCATGTGGAGGAGTGGGGAATCAAACCCGGTTCTCCCAGATTAGAGTCTGCGCTCTTAACCACCAAACTGGCTCTCTACACCAAACTTGATAGCCTGCCTCTGACTTCCCTGCCTGGTATTCTCTGGAGGTCTCCCATCCAAATACATGCCAGGGTCAGCCCTGCTTAGCTTCCGAGGTCTGACGAGATCAGGCTTGCATGGGCTATTCAGGTCAGGGCAGAAGAAGAAACATTTGAGGTATTATGTCATATTTATTGTGGCTACAACAAAGAACCATTTGAAAGGAGACTCGTAAGAATTCATGAGGTCATTATTCACCTTTGTATTCTCTCTACTAAATGACATACTCTGGGTGTGGACAGAGGCTTTTAGAAAAAGAGGGGAACTCTTGGGGGGGGGGGTCTTGTCAACTGTGCAACATCTTAACTGAGCTTCTGTCTCCCTCCTGGTAGCAGGTATAAATTCTGCACATGTCCAAAGCAAAAAAGCAAAGGGTTCTTGGCTCAAGGCTTGCAGCCCGTGGGTATTATGTGAGCCAGCCACTGGACTCAGAACCTGCCCAGGATGTGGTTTGAACTTTTTGTTTCATAAATTTATTCACGGTATTCTGCTGCTTTAATTATTTTTGTTTAAATTATACACCATTGTAGGCAGTTTTGGGTCTGTCACAAAAGAAAATTTAATTAAATATTTGGCTGCCAATTTAGTCACTCTCCTACTTCCAGCATGGAAGGGCTCTGGTTCTCTTGAACTTTCTTATGCAAATTCTGTTCAAAGGTCCAATGGACCTGATATTGCCTGTTCTGGTTAGTAACTCCCAAAGGCCTTTAATGAAAAAGTCTGCAAATAAAGGATATGAGAGGATATCTATATATATATCTATTTCTCAATGTGGCCCCCATCTGCAGATCAGGGCTGTGACATGGATGAGAATATATTGCTTTTATTAATATTAATTTTAATTTAGAATATTCATGTATTTATTTTTTTTGGTTTTATAGATTTTAATATTAAGAGTCTATTAGGCTTTAAGGCTTCTTCTCTGTGGGTTAAAGTGTACTTTTGGCTGATGCTGGCAGACGAAAAGTAAATAGTCTTTATCAGGTTTCTTGGCTGGAGAGGCTGTTTCAGCTGTCTGGCACAGTTCTAATAAGTTTTAAGTATAGTGTTAATGGGGTAAGGGAGGATGGGCTTTTAATAGACGTGTTTACTTGACTTTTTACAAAGAGTATAGAGTTCATCATTTTAGTTGTTTAGGGTAAGAACTCTGCAGTGTCTGGGCCAGCAAGGCCTTGAGTACCTTATCTGAAAACAACACTTTTTGCTTGGGTGTAAAGAATCCCTGGTTAAAGGTGAATAAGATCAGGTTAAGTAAACATTTAGAATATCATGTAGTCACACCTTTTGCTGCAACTGACCAATGACTGTATGCCTACTCAAATGATGCTCTAACAGGAAGTAACGATGTAACTAATTAGTACGAGCCAAAAGGTCCTCAATAGAAAGCATGGAATCCCACAGACATCATTCACTTTACACAGAAGAAGGCTATAATTATTAGCCAATGGCTGCATGTTTTATTTTCATTTATACTCCACCTTTCTTCCCAATGGGAAAAATTCTTCTCTCTTCCATTTTATCATCACAACAACCCTGTGAGCAATGTTCCCTCTAAGCTGTGGAGTCCTGTGAGCAAAAATTCTACTCTGTGAGCTACCAGCATCAAAGTTGTGAGCAAGTGATTTGGCTGCTGCATAGATTACAGCTTGCTGTGGGGCCATCCTTCCTGAGCTAAGACAAAAATGTGTGAGCCAGAGGCTAAAAAACTGTGAGCTGGCTCACACTAACTCAGCTTAGAGGGAACCCTGCCTGTGAGGTAAGAGGCTGTGAGTGTTTTACCGCCCCCCCCCCCCCCCCTGGTCACTCAGCAAGATTCCATGCTGGAGTAGGGATCTGAACCTGAGTCTCCCATATAGTAGCCTGGCACTTTAACCATCACACCACACTGGTTGTCAGTCAGTAATACAATATATCAATGGGTTGGATCTTGCCATTCCCTTCTGCTAACAGTGGTGCTTTTCTCCAACGCCAGAAACCTTCCTCTGAAGCAACAAGTTCTCCCACCACTGTTAAGAGAACTGTCATAAGAAAGCATATCAAACTGAATTATTGCCTAAAAAACAAACAAAAGAAATAATGGACCAAGGCAAACAGATTCTAGCAATTTAATTATTCAAAGTCATTTTGAAACAGCAGTGACAGTAAATCTTTCCACCGTCATGATGCTGCAGTTTTGTCAACATAGTGCACTTACAAGTGATGACTGCATAATAGACACCTCATTATTTAAAGGATCATATTCTTAAAAATATCATATTTATCATATTACAGTATGAAAATCACAAAAGAAATATAAAATCTGGCATTTAAAAACCATCTAAGAAGTATATTACACCACTAGTAGCAGTTTTATGAAAAATTATTAAGAACATAAGAACTGCCCTTCCAGAACAGATTAAGGTCCATTCCATTTCCAACTAGGGCTTGCCACCAGCCTGGCCCCAGCCAAATATTTCCCCTGGGGAGGGAGAGCTATTGCTCGTACCCTTCTGGTCCCCACCTTCTCCAGTCACCAGTTCTTCATTGTGCATGCCAAGGACCAGACATCCCAAACTGGTGTGTGTTTTTTGGGGTTTTTGCATATGCAGGCCTTAACATAATTTCCAATCAACACCAAAGGCAACGGTGTAGTCAGTCAGTGCAAATGAAGGTGGGTAGTTGCAAGGAGAGGATCCTCTGCTGTGGTTGCTGGTTGTCTCAGGTGACCGAGAGAGGAGGAGGAAGACTGATAATGGAAAAAGGGGCTTGAACAGGCCCAGGATAGTGGGTAGGCAGGCAACAAACTGAATGGGGGTGGCAACAATGCTACACGTCATCATGGTTAGACAGCTGGGCCCAGTGCCTGTCAAACAGGTTCCTCCTCCCAAAAGAGTTCATGGGGAGCACTGAGTGCACCCACCCCAAAGGCCAGTTTGCCGGTCTAGGAAAGGGAAGAAGGCTGGAAAACAGAAGTTCTGAAAAGACTGGAAGTTAGCCAGCAAGTGAGGAGTAATTAAAAACAGTCACTCTAGCTCAGGTTCATCTCTTGTGTATATTTTGCACTTCTGTGTAAGGTTGTAGGACAAGAGAGTTTGTATTTTCTTCATGACATTACCCTGTATTCTGTGGCTCGGCTCTCTCTCTTTTAAGTTACCTGCTCTGCATGTAGGCTATTTCTAATTATGAACAATTTATAATATGACTTGTGTTGTGATGCGAGGGAGCCTGATATAGTGTTTGGGCAGCATACTTTTGTAAGCACAAGCAATGGCTCAGATAAGAGTGTGTTTTCTGTTGGCTCCTTATCAGATCCTGATGCCAGAATCAAGCCCTCCCCCCCTTGGAAATCCTGGCCAGATGATGCTTGGAAGCTTGCAAATGAGGTATGAAGTTGGTGCTCATGCCCCGTTTTTTGTTCCCATCTGGTAACTGGAGGTGCTCTGCCTCTGAATGAATGCTGGTACGTACAATATTCACCTTTTGCTGTTGTTTTTAAAACACAGGAATTAATCATTTGTAATTTGAGATATACCAACCCTTGGTAATACTGATTAGATTAGGGACATAAGGACAGTAAAACCATGCTAAACCATCCCGTCTTTTGTTCCCATCTGGTAACTGGAGGTGCTCTGCCTCTGAATGAATGCTGGTACGTACAATATTCACCTTTTGCTGTTGTTTTTAAAACACAGGAATTTATCATTTGTAATTTGAGATATACCAGCCCCTTGGTAATATTGATTAGATTAGGGATATAAGGACAGTAAAACCATGTTAACACAAGAGATGAATTTGGTGATCATAATAATTAAATATGCGTGCCATGAACCAACAAAAGACGGAGTTCCCCAGATCTCAAGAGCTTCCCACTCATTTCCATAGAGAGACTTGATAATCATACCAAGGGATTCACGCAAGAAACCAAGGAATTGGGTTTCTCTAATGAAGTGAAGGCAGTTAGGGAGCCTGAACTTGTAAGGAATTGGTATGTACTGACACATCCACAGATCTCAGGGACCCTAATGATAATCAGGAATGAATTCCAAGCCAGTCAGTGAGGTTTACTTCCAAAAACACTGCAGTAGAATTACAGCCTTGGAATTTGCTCACACCAAAAGGCCTACTCAGACTGTTTCTGGTTTCCTATAAAATGGGCTTAGAAGGCTGTAACTCTGTTTCAGATGGCACTGTAAGTCTTATGCTAATTCTAATGGGATGATACACAAGACCTTATACTAGAGAGAAAAAAACATCTACTGACTGTTAAAGCAACATCACTTTAAAAGGGCAACGTTTTCCTCTGCTACTGCTTGAAATCTACCATAAATATGTTATGTACTTTAGGCCAAATATGCCCATTTTCTGCAGTACCCAGAAACATTCCAGGTACTTAAAGTGAACCCACTCCTGCATTTGGACCTTCCTTTGGAAAATGGAATTTTTTAATGATGAATCATGGTCAGACAAAATTATGCAGTACTCTTAACCACTGCTAAGTACTCAATGATCCCTGCTAGAAGTTGAACTGAGGAAATTAGAATTTTCTGTCATCTCCTTTTGTGATATATGTGAGTAGCAAAATTTTTCATTCTTCCACCATGTTAACTTTTTCCAATACCCACAAGGAGTGCTATTACAAACGCCAGACTGCCACACAGATATATTAGCAGCAGTAGTACTTCACTTTTCACCTAAAAGGGAAAAGAAATATTAACTTGAAGTAAAAATTCTTCTTTACTTAGATTTTTATGTACAGATTTTATATACATTTATTCCAAATTGTGATATATCTGCTAACTTTAGTCTTCCTGTACTACTTGGCATAGCTGCCAGTTCTTCCTGCTATCCCCTTCTCTGGGGGGCATTCACTCCCCCACCAGCCGAGGGTTTGGGGCAGCTGCTCTGGATGCTCTGTGGCTAAGACTGCCCCCGAACAGTGCCAATACCATGAAGAAAAGCAATGCTTCTTCTGGGAGGGAGAACTGAAAGCTGAGAAATGGCTAAGGGATGAAAGGGGTTTGTAACTTTCCCCCCACCTTCTGTTTCTTTGCTCCAATATTTACTCACTAGCTGCTTTTTCTTCTGCAAGGCGAACATGCATCTGAATCCACCGCAGAGAAATGGCAAGTGGTGAAATAACCCCTGCCTCTCCATTCTTTGCTGTATATTCTACCCTCCCAAAGAGGCTTTGCTTTTTAAAAGAGGCACTGGGACATCGTAACATGCACTAGCGTACAACTGGTTCCCTTAGAACGCCTTGTTTTCCAGACTAGCTTGAACTTTTGATTTAGTACGGGGGACTTGCTTAAAAGAGGTTTTTGTTTGTTTGTTTCCAGGTGCAACTGTCAAAAGGGCAAAGGGATGAGTTACTTTATCCTCCCATGCCAGGTATCTTATTCCCCCTCCCCCCCGCAAGAGGTAAAGGGTTTTTTCAGCAGG